CCCCAAAACCCCAAAACCCCAAAACCCCAAAACCCCGAAATATTCAACTAAATTGAAAATTACCACTCATAATCCTTAAAAGCCCAATTTTTTTCGAGAAGGTATGAGAAGAAGGAAACTTTTAAGATCTTACATCAGCATTATTTGTCAGTATGATTCTTTAATTTGGCTTCTATCTCTTTTTTGTACTTTTTCTGGCATCCATCACAGAACCAGAGAGAATCTTCAGGTGGGAGCTGGGTGAGATTCACGCAATTTAGATGGAACCATTCATGAGCTCATTTATCATGCATATCACAGCCTACCCAATCATCATTTTTGACTTCTCCACAAGGACAAGTAACATCATCTTCTTGATGTGCTGCCATATTGACATCTCCTACCTCTTGTTTTACTTCAGGATAAGCAGGTTCCATTTTGATATTGTTCCTAGAACTAATCGGCTTTGATTGCTTCTTGGCAGTTGATCTTCCCTTCCTACTTATCACAGGTTTCTCTTCATAATCATTTATATCAAGTTTTTCAAAGTCATAGAGATTATCTGCAATTTTGCTGGGGAAAGTGGATGCCTTCTGCTTCTGCTCTGGCATAAGGTCATCCATCAATTTATCAGCCTTTCTCAGTGCATGTTCATACATCTGAAAAGCAGTGACAGAATGGTCATATTTTTCTTGTTGGAGGGCTTTCATCTCTAAAAACTTATTTCACCCATACTTTGGAGGGAATTAAAAACTTACGCTTATAAATCAGCTCTATGCTTGTAAAGAGCTCAGTACTGTCAGGCTGAGAGGCTAATTGTTCTTTGAGTCTTTCATATCTTTCTTTGAGCACCTCTATTTTCTCATCAAGTATTTTTATAGTATTAAGTCTTCTTTTAACATCATTTGGGAAAATAATGTTGTTATGAAAGAAACTCTCAATCGAAGATTCCATCATTTCAAACTATGTAATTTAATATTATAAATGAGTGAATACTTTTTGGGGTTTTGGGGTTTTGGGGTTTTGGGGTTTTGGGG